GTGTGTGTGTGTGTGTGTGTGTGTGTGTGTGTGTGTGTGTGTGTGTGGAATACAGGAATCCCATATATAAAGATGTTTTGTTTTCAGAGGAAGGTAGGTGGCTCAGTAAATAGAGCACTGAACCTGGAGTCAGGCAGAAGAGTTCAAATCCTGCCTTAGACACTAAGCTGTGTGATCTTGGGCAAGTCACTTAACCTCAGTTTCCTCAGTTATAAAATGATGATGATAATAATAGCACACAGCTCCCACAGTTGTTCTAAGACTCGAATAAGATAATATTTGTAGATTACCTTGTAAACCTTGAAGCATTATATAAATGCTAGGATATTATTATTATTTCTTTGGAAAAGACTAAGGTGCAGTAGTTTTAATATGGTAGGAGTAGGAGGGAGATAAAATAGATTTCTTTTCATCAAGAAATAATAATTTTTAGAAACAAATATTAGCATAAAGAGCTTTGGCAGCCTTATTTTCTAGAACAGTGACCACAAGAGTACATGAAACACAGTTTGCCATGTAAGAGCTTTCAGGAAACCACACCACAGCTCTTCGTTCTGATAAAGCAGAAATTTCATTTAAAGTGGTATTTTTTTTTAATCTTGCCACTTTTTAAACTGTTTCAGAGCATATGATAGATATTATTTGGCCACAAGTCTCAACCTGCTCCTTTTTTCAAAAGGAGAAGACAAAGGACGGCAGAATTTATCCCTAGTCGTGCTTCAAGCTTAGAGCAGAGTTAAAAGCCACTCAGGTCTTCGATTTCCAGCTCCTGGTCTCTGATGCTTTTCACTGTATGCTCTTTAGGTGACAATAGCAACATACGCAATGGGGAAAATGCCAAGTAGAGCAAAGCCAAGGGAGTGATGCGCAGATTATCGACTTCACATGGGGACAGATGTTATCATCAAAGTACTTATTTTGATAAAGAGAATCTGGCTCTTCAGTGAAGGAGCCCACCCAGCAGAAAGAGTGCATCATCTGACCAAATCATTGTATTGTTAGACTCAAGCTTCCTCTCTTGAATTTAACATGTGAAACCCTGAACTCTGACATGCTGCTGTTGCCTTTATCTTCACCTCTGATCTTTGTTGTTCACTCAAATCCTCATCTTGCCAACCTAACAGTGGAAAAGTAAACATTTTCATTCAATCAAGTTGTTTATTTGATCTGGGCACCACCAGTTTCCTGGAGCCATCTTACTCAACTGAATGAATTGGCTGGTATTTTGTAAGCATGGCCAACATCCACTTGGCAAAAGTCCATTATTTCACTAAGCTGCAGCATACAGGAACAATGTTTAGGTTCAAGATTTCAGGTGACATAAATTCCTCCATTTTTTTTTTAGCATCCTGGGCTAAATACAAAAGGAAAGGTTTGCCAGACCCAACTTGAGCCATTGTTTAATGTTTAAGTTCATCTGAAACTTGAGCTCTTTTGTTTGTGTTTAACAGATTTAAGAAACTACTTGAATGTAAATGGGATCATATCCTCCCAAACTTTAATTACCAAGGAATAGTTACTTTAGTGACTATTAGTATTTAAAACAAAGAAGAAGAATGGCATAGGTTTTATTAAAATCTCTTTTTTTTTTCTTACTGTAATCCCTGGAGCCCTCCTCAGGATAAAACCCTAAAAAAATAGTCCCAGGTTTGAGGCACTCTGTGAATTAGGATCACTTCACAATCATAGCTAATAAACCCTCACTTATATATTACTGAAGTTAGGGACAAGATCAAAATACTAAGGGAAACAAATAGGACCATTACCCTCCACACAACCCCTGGACCATACCCTCATCTTTATCATGCATATCTTCCAATAATAAAAATGTTGGATCTTTTTTTTAATATTTTCCCTAGAACAAAGGCACTGTCTGTCTACATTACATATAGAAAGACTTCATGTTCAAGAAATCAAATTAGTACCCCTTTCTTAAACACTTATTTTTATTGGAAAGGAGAACGAAAAAAAAACTATCCAAATGTGCTGAGATTAGACTAATTATCCACCTAATAGTACCTAAGATAGTCAATCATGATGAATTCTCTTATGTTATTCTTTTCATTTGGGACTTCACAGTTGCTCCATTATTTCTTCTAATAAAAAATTGAATAGCAAGCAAGTTTCCTGTGATTTAAATCAGACCAAGGAGGGAAAAGGGCTACACTGAACAAGAAATGCTGTGGTAAACAGCTAATTCACTTAACAACTAATT